ATGAAACGCTCAGCTTTGAGAATCTCGTCCATGGAATATCCTCCATCTACCATGTAGACAATTTCCTGCACGGACGGGCAGTTGATCTCCTCATACTTGGCGGCGATGAAGATGGCAGTGGCACCCACAAGCTGAAGTTTGCCCAGGGACACGATCTTGCAAGAAAGAAAGCGGTCGATGTAGTTGACACACAGAAAGAGGGTTTCGGGAAGCAAAGAGAACCGATAGTGGACCTGCACGACCCAGTCCATAAGCACAGACCGCATAGACCACTGGATCTCGGCTTGGTTATCCATATAGTGAGCATTGGGTAGCATCTTGATCTGTAGGCCATGTAAGTATCTAACTACATAGGGTCAGGTTTCTCCAGACCTAGTACGTACCTCTTGTTCTCTCATGTATTCGAAAATCTCCTCGCTGTACTCAGCAACCATGCTGGTATCGTACCATTCATCTTCAATGTCTTCCTCAGTCCGTGTGGCCTCCACGACCTGCTCCGCGAGAGCTAGTTCGCGTCGGACTTGCTGGGTGAATTTGGGGAAAAGCACTGTGGTGGCACCCCCGGTGGTATTTTCGCCGCGAGAGCGGTAGGAGCGAGCAGTCATATACCCATCTTCCTCCTCATGCTCGTCCTCTTCATCCCAATCTTCCGGCTCCGACTGTGCTGGTGCATGCGAGGTCGAGGCAGAGTCACGATGAGCCTTCGCGACACGGTTAGGTTCAGGAACCTCCGGCGCAGCGGGAAGCTCGCGGGGCTTGGGATCCTCGCTATGATCCTGGACCTTGCAATGATCATCATCAACCTCCAGCAAAGCCTTCTCTGCCTCGTCCACTTCAGAGTCCACTATGGAATGCTCTTCGGCGTCTTCCAGGACTGGCTTCGGTTCTTCGTGTGTAGCTTCCTCCTTCGTAGTGGTCCGCTTCGCAGCTGCGGGCGCCTGTGCAAGGGATGCCTTGTTGTCCCCTTCCTCGAGTTCGGTGTTGGTTTCCTTGGATGTAATTTCGCATTTGTTGTTCGACGGTTCCGACGCGTCTTTGAATACTGTAGCCCGCTTGTTTAAGATCTTTCTAGCATTGGCAGTTTGCTGCTGCAAAGCGATTTGCTTGGAAGGTTCAATGGGTTTGGCGTTGGGAACATTGTTCAAGAGGCCTTTCATACCAGCCATTGACATGGGCCGCTGAGCTGGCTGCGCCAGGCTAGCCTTCTTCTCGACGATCAACGCCGCCTTCTCTGCCCCTTTGGTCTGCTTCTTGCCCGCCAGGGAGATATCATCGCGACCGACAATTGGTTTGGCCGTGTTGCTGACATCGCCAAAAGCAGCCCGCTTGGCCGCACCTTTGTTAGCGCCGTTCTGGAACATGGTGGACAAGGCAGGCGTGGATTTGTTTTTCTGGGTAAGGGTCTTGTTGGCTGCGAGAGGGAAGGGGGCATTCTCGTCACCACGGACGCGAATTCTCTGGGGCTAATGCCATAAATCTCGTCAGCTCAGTGTTATTAACTAAGTCGCGACCTTGGTGAAGGGGTAATCGGAGGCTAAGCCCTCAGTGCGCGTGCAGCACCGTGAACATGCATGCCATGTTTATAAGCCGATTGGACGGCTGCCAGGCAAGAAGGACATGCAATGGAAGATAACGTACCTTTGCATCCATCTTGGATGAAGAGAGGCAATACTCTGAAGCCTCGAGAACCGTGTTTGGGGGAGCTTGGGGAAGGGTGGGTGGTTGTTTACGTCTCTGCGCCCTGCGCAGGAGTTGGTCGTCGCAGCTAAAGTTATACTAAAAATGCGACCCCAAACAAACACAAGACCGCGCCAAGGGCTCGAGCGATAGCGCCAGTTCGACCAGGTTTGAGTGTTAAGGTTGGCTGCCTCGAGAGGGAGGAGGTTGGTTGAAAGACGACGACTAACACCAATACATTGACAAAGACAGGGCGACCAGCAACGAAGAAAGGGCAGGACAAACAAAAGCTGAGTTTGAACTGAATCTCAAGGGCAACCACCAGCATTGCCCGAAACGGTCACTTCCTTACTTGGTTACCGTCAACAACACCCGCGCTAGTCCGCTTCGGGTGTTGCTATGGCATGCTTAGGTCAGTCGCTGTTTGCGCTGTTTGCTTGCTCTCCAGAGCGGGTGACATCATCTAACGCGTCTTCCCACCAGCACATCAATTCCTTTACTGCCCAGCTTTCTCTTCCAAATCCTGCTATATCTGGTGATAAAAAGCACTTTATATCGCAGGCTATTTTGCGATTCTAAAACGACAGCATTTCCTGCTTATACTTACGGTTGTGGTGGACAATTGTGGTGGATATTCCCCCAGGTCCTGGACGCGCCGGGTCACACGAAGCCGGCCTTCACCCAACGCGAGTTCACGTGACCCTGAACGGGCGGGAGAGCTGCCGTCTTTGCTCCGGGATTTGACGCTTGAAGCGGAGGTTGGAGCAACCGGAATGTCGAATTCAGCTTGCGACCACCCCGATTATCCAGGACCTCCGATCGCACTATTAACCAGGCTCACCGGTGTCGCATGGCAGGGCACCTAATTGCCTTTGAGCGAAACGTCTCGACCAGGATGGAGTGGATGGGCCATTCGGGTCGAGATTTCAGCTGGAACCTGGTCATGCCAATGATGACGGGCCATGATAATCGCAAACCCGTCAATGACTTGAGGAATCCATGTTTCCTGTAGGCTTACAGTTTGCATCTTTGGCCTGGCTTTTCTGCGGGTTTTCTAACTGGCACTTACTTTGGACTGATTTTGGGTCCCGTTTACACCCGCGCAAAATGCCAACCTCGCCAGGAAGCCACAAGTTTCCCCCCCCATTGTGGGACGCGGATCCGGCGGTACCTATCATGAGGCGGCGGGATTCATGAGAGCGGGTTTGTCGATGGTCGTGTGCGAAAAAGTCCGACCTCCACCGGATTTGCAATCAGTGAAATAGCCAGTATTGGTTGTAAGTGTTATGCGATGGTCGCAAATTCACTTTGATTGATGCTGTGATCCATTGTGCATTGTAGAGGAAGAGAGAGAAGATGGAAAGGATGAACACTGGGATTGCTGGCGACCAGCCGCCATTTGAGGTGTCGCGGACAACCGAACGGTGAAAGCGGACTATTGAAGATACGCAAAGTTTCGGTGTGTGTTTGGCCTGGCGGCTGACCAACAACAATAGCAAAGCCAGTTAGTTAACTAGCATGAATGGGCAAAATTATGATGACTATTGAAGCACCGGCCGGACTGGTTATTGATTCTGGAGCAGGCCCCGCTTTGAGTGCCTCAATAAGGAACACTCACAAACTCTACAATTGGAGTGATCGCACGAGATCGGATTGTGTTCAATTTGAACTGAAGATTATTACTTTTGACAAACACAAGGGAAAGAAGCGACAGAGCCTATATCTTGCCGTAGATATATATATATATATATATATATATGATCCCATTATTGTCATTCTCATTTAGCTTCCCTGCGGAATGCAGTCCTTCCAGTTGATCTCCCCCCACCCGGCTAACGGCATTGTTGCGCCAGTTGGTTGTTCTTCAGTCATTCTCATTCGATCGCTTGGGGCCAGGATGAAATTATGTAGAGACCCCAGTACAACGCGCAAGACATGGTTAAACAGCGGATTGGCAGTCAAAGGGAACCCTCCGAAGGTTTAGTTCACAGGCCGCTGCGAAGTTGCACTGGACCTTGCAGACATAGGAATGGCCGGCCTGGCAGATGCGATTTAGGGACCCGCGGGACAGGAAGCCAAATGACTGTCCATAGGATCGGATGTGCTAATTTAGATGATGATGAGGATGATGATGATGAGTTTCTTCGCTGTCAGTCTGGTCGCAAAAGAATACTAAGTCCTTGTGCCTGCCCGAAAGTTGGTGAAGGAAAGACGGGGATCCTTACGTAGCCCACCGTTTTCCGAGGAGGGGTAAAAGGACGAGTCTGGACAGGCGCAGATCATGAAACGAGGCAACAATTGGGCGTTGTTGCTCGTCGGCTTGTTGGCTCTGTGTCGTTGCAGCATCCTGGCCCAATTAATCTCAGTCAGTTCTCGTCTCCATCCCCCGGTAGCGATGGTTGGGTGTGGTGGATTGCCCTCCCCTCATTCCATTGCATGCTGTTCCGTTAAGTAGTATTTCCTTTGCTTTTCCTTTGGTGGTGATGATGATGATGGTCTGGTTGTTTCTCCGGGATTCTCTGCGGAGTACTGATTACTACTAAGTAGTCTTTATACTGGTGATGGATGATGATGATGAGCCTGAGGCCATGGAGGACATATGCGCCGTAGGAGATTTCCTTTCCTTTGCCCCAACATGGAGATCCGGAGCATCGATCGCCCTTTCAACCGGTTATCCAAACCATCATGCATGTCTTACGCCCCGCGAGTAATGGAATGGCAGCATTGAGTATGGTAAGAACCTTGCGCGACCAGCGTTGAGGGAATTGGTCGCTGAGAGAGAGAGGGGGGGACAAGTTCAGTTCTTTCCGGAGACAGTTGGTCGGTCGTCTTTAATTGCGTCTTTTTGCCCATCCACGTAGGAAATACAAAGGGAACCAACCTTATTCCCCAGGATAACATTCTTCGGATCTTTTCGCTGCTTGTTTGGTCTGTAGTGATTATTTCGCCTTTTTGGAAGAAAACATTCGCTACGACTTGATTCTTTAACCATTCTGATACGAAAATGTCCATCTTCCCAGGAGTTAAACCCGAAATGTGGACGGACAGGAAGAAAAGCGTCCCATCACTCGCTCTCCGCAGCCGGGATGTGATCGGGGGTGTCATTCGACGTGGCCGCGCTGAGGAAGTGCCAGCCAACCTTGACCCTACGCCACTCCGCTTCATCTGGTCAACCATCTCTTCCGTTGGGTGCACAAAGAATTAAAATGGTAACAGTAATAATGATAATAAACATGATCGTAATCCACAGGTATCTCTTTCCGTGTGTATGTTCCTGTAATGTCCGTAGATTGGCAGTTCAAAAAGTACTCCTGCACCTATTCTCTGTGGTCGCAGATCGACGATGTCGCCGTCGTTTGCGCCAACACCCGGCCGATACTCCAGAGATCCAAAAGCACTTTGCACTCACCCTTCACCCCATCACTGGCATTAATTTGGAACAAAAGTTATAGCAATATAAAAGTGTAGTTTTAGCGATTCATCTGACAGGTACTTTGTACGTTTATTTTTGCCAGAAGTCCTTCCAGGCAGAGTCGCCGATCTCGTAGATCCAGATAGAAGCCGGTCCGTTCGGACGCAATGCGATTTAGGATTTTGCGATGAAAGAAAGCCACGCGCAAATAGAAAAAAGGGTTGAATGGGGAATATAGAGAATCAATTCGCATCTGGAAGGAAGTCGGGGGAGTCTGTGGGGGGAAAAGGGTGCATTCGAGAGGATGTATTGTCACCGACCCAGGCCACCTCTGCTCGCTTTGGGTGAAACCACATCCATCCATCCATCCAGCGCCCACTCCCTCTTCCTCTCTCTCTCTCTCTCTCTCTCTTCCTCCTCAACCTTCTCTTCGACCCAACCCGACTTCTTCTCGCCCACTCACTCCACCATTTGCCTTCGATTTTTTGGTGCATATCTATCAGGTAGGTTCCGGTCTATCGTTTAGCATGACTTTGATCTTCTTTTGCACCCGCTCTCCCCCTTTCCTGGCCTTTTGGTTCTCCTGACTCGCTTCGGCTCTGCGTGATGCCACCGCTGACATACCCAAGCGCTTGGTAGAACGACTCACCTCCCACGGCCCACCCCTCTTCCTACTCCCTCAACCACCATCGCTATCCTTCCTTTCTCATCTCGTCGGATCCGATACTCGGGTGCGACTCTACACAAATAGGTTTGATTTCCCATCGGTACGTCTTTGATGCCATCCATCGTCTTCCGAGTGTTTCGGGTCGTCTCTCCTCCTCCCAATCTGCAATCCCATCAGGATTCGACAGGGGAGGTCTCGGCGTCATCGAATAAACCTGGATTCCCTTCTCTACACATCGTCCTTTCTCATTGACATCTTTTGCATCACATCGTGCTAACCTTGGTGGTGGTGGTTGTCCAGCTTTTCGACCGTCTTTTTCTTTGCCTTTCCCGTCGCTCTCGGCTCTTGCGACTGAGGTGCCGTCGTCCTCCCACCGACCACCCTCTTGAGTCGCCATCCAACACATCCATAAAAACTGTCGCGGGTAGTCCATCTTTCAACTGAACCCCTCTGGTTTCTCTGTTGTGGTAGGT